TTTATTTTAATTTTTTTTTTTTTATTTTTTTTTTGTTTCTTTTTAGTTTTTGCCCATGTGAAGCTTAATAAGAAGTTAATAAAGCCACATTTAAAGAAAGATTGCCCAAGCAAGGTTGTATATTAATAATTAAGCAACACTCAACAGAAGATTGTCCATGTGAAGTTGTTTATTAATTGTAATCATGATCTAAGCATGGTCTCCAAGTCTCACCTGATTTTCTCACATTTCCCAAAAGTAATATTATCACATCTTGTTTTTCTTGGGCAAGAAGACTTTTGTTGTGATCTTTGTTCAATTAAAATAATTTGACATATTTTAAAATCAAATCATCGCCTTTTTTTTAACAAAAACTCACAACAAAAAAACAAAAACTTAATACCACTTTTCTAAGAAACAACGTTTTTTTTTAGCTTTTTATATCAAAATCTTGAAGTGATTTCTGTAAACTTCTAATATTGATTTTTAACTAGTTCAACAGATCCAGCAGAAGCTCAACAGATTCAACAGAAATTCAACAGATTCAGCAGAAGCTCAACAGATTCAACAGAAATTCAACAGATTCAACAGAAGCTCAACAGATTCAACAGAAGCTCGACAGATTCAATAGATTCAACAGAAATTCAACAGATTCAACAGAAATTCAACAGATTCAACAGAAATTCAACAGATTCAACAGAAATTCAACAGATTCAGCAGAAGCTCAACAGATTCAACAGAAATTTAACAAATTCAATAGAAATTCAACAGATTCAACAGAAGCTCAACATATTTTGGTGACAAAAGACTATCTAGTTTTTGAACTTAAAAATCATTAATACAATGATTCTTTTTATTTGGGTTTGTAATTAAAAACTGGGTAATAGATACTGCAGAACATATTAAAAGAAATTTCGAGAACAACTTTTCAAGGTGTGTCTTTTAGAAATATAACTACTCTTTGATCAGGGTAATTTAATAAACATTGGTGAATTTTTTACCAAGCAGCAAAACTAATTTTAATTTGATCTATAAGTTTTCTAATGTTCATTTAAAACATCTTAAAGTGAGAAAGTCATCTACTAACCCCTACTAGTATGGAACCATTGGTTTGTCAGTTCAGAATCATCTTAGAAAACCATTTAACTTTTCTGACATCATTTCAAAAAATTTTACATTGATTGACAAAGGCATAGATGAGTATTTGACTTTATGAAAATCCTGGAAATTTTTTTTCTATGATAATCCCGGAAAATTATTTTATTAAAAATTGATCGCATTTAACTGACAAACGGAATTTAGATTATTTAAATTTTTACAAAAAGAAATTTCTTATATTTGAAAAAGTTTGAATGAATTAAAAAGTAAAATAAAAAGAAAAAGAAAAAAAATTGTTACGAAAATTGATCTGGTGAAAATTTCAATTATAGAAAACATATTTGCTTAAATGCAAAAGTTGTCGTATGTAAAATTTTATGTAAAAATATATTAACTTTTTTTCAAATTAATATCAAAAAACATCCGGAAATTTCTGGAAAAATTAAAGGTGTTTTAAGTGAATTTCCGGAAATCCGGGAATTTCCGGAAAAAACTCATCTATGCAAAGATCATAAACCATGGTTTGCAGCCCTCTTAATTTTTGAAACATGTTGTTTGCTTTTCTTAAATATGTTATGACCTTTTTGTATCCATCAAATTTAATTTTCTGAAATTTTACAAACTTTTTGTATCCATCAAGAGTGTTTTTGTATCCATCAAGAGTGTTTTTGTATCCATCAAGAGTTTTGAATCCATAAAAGAGTGATTTAGTCTTTTTAGAACTTTTTTTCCATTTAGAATTTTTTTAGTATCTATGACAATAATTATTATTATTATTATGCCAACAAAAACTGGATTAGATAATAAAGTATTGATGTAATGTTTTCATAGATTCATCTCATCTACTAGGAGAGTCATCTAGAAATTACCACACCTCTTTTAAGATATCTTTTAAAATAATATTTATCTCCCGATAAATATTGTCTTAAAAGAGGTTTTTTTCTTTTTCTTCAGTTCATTTAAACTCTAGAAAAAGAAAATTTACATTTGGTCTGTCTGATGACACAAGTAAAATCTTGTATATCATTTATCTATATTAGAAATACAGTTTAAGAATGTCTGCATAACATCAAATGCAGTTGAACTCTGTATTAAGATAATGAATTTTAACCATAGTGTAATGAGGTGAAATAAATAGTATAGATGTGACTTATTTTTTAGTCCAACAAGTCTAAATGTTTGACTTAATGAATTTAAAAATTAAGACTTTTAAAAACAATTTATTTGAATTCAAAACAACAATTGAATGTTTGAAGATTGGTATAAAGATTTCAAACATATAATATATGTTTGAAATAATATATGTTTAGTGTTCAAAGTATAAAAAAAAAAAAATACTTAAGAATTAACATTATTATTAAACATTATTTTATTAAGTTGATTTGAGTTGATGTACTAAAAAGTATACATCTTATTTTCAATTAAGCATTTATTTATATAATAACAAGCAAATTTATCAAGTTCTGAGGAAACAAGGTATAACAAACAAGGTATAGTAAACAAGGTAGTTTTTTCTAGGGTTGTTTGCCGAAAAGCAAAACTTACAAAAATTTTACATTTTTTTTCTTCCGTAATTCTATTCAAATTGCTATGGCAGAAGTTGTAGATAATAATGAAAAAAAAAAATAATAATAATTCCATAATAATGCTTTACGAAAAGAAACTTGCAAAAAAAATACTTGCAAAACAGTTCCTTACGGAATGAGCATTATGGGATGTGCACTTACGGAAAAGACTCTAAAGCATTCATTAAATTGTTATTTTAAAAAAATGTTATTATTTACTATTTAAATATAAATAATGTTGTAAAATGAATCTTAATTAATTTACACATATAGCTCCTTTTGCCCCCTGTCGCTATACCAGTGTTTATAAATATTTTTATATATTTTAAGTACCGAATTTAGTTGCTTGTTGACTTTGGCTTTGCGCTTTTTTGCAAAATAGTTAGAGCTTTAATACTTTTAGCAGTTAAATTCCCAATAAAGTTGGAATGTTGCATATGAAAACATTTTCCAGGACCAACGATTCGAGGGTGAACAAATGACCTTTTCACCTTCCCACCCTATCTTTTTATATTTTTTAGTAAAGGAAAACATTTTAGAAAAAAACATTTTTTTTTCTAAAATGTTTTCCTTTAAATTTTTGAAAAAAATGTCTTTAAATTTTTTTAATTTACTTGTTGTTATTAAGGTAATAAAAGCTTATATAACAGAGCACCTCAAAAATAAAAAAAATAAAACTGACTAAACATAAAATCATTTTATTAAAAAACAAGTGAGAGCTATTTTTAAGCATTTTAATATAGGATTAAGTTTCAACATTCATAACTTAAATTAGGTCTTTCTCTGATTTCAACAAAGGCATTGTTTCCCAATTACGCAATTGCATTCTATGTTAACATGGTTCAAGTTATCTTCATTATTTAATTCTTATTTATTAAATAACATTTTAAAAGGTATACTTTATGAAAGTCTTGCTTTATTTATAAAATTTTAAAATTGATATCATATAATAATTATTATTTTAGTTAATTATTTAATAATTAGTATTTTAGTTAATTATTTAATAATTAGTATTTTAGTTAATTATTTAATAATTAGTATTTTAATTAATTAAACCTATTTGATTCATAAAACGAAATTAAATATATTTATTATGCTACGTTTCATAAGTTTTTTCTGTTAAGAACTGTTCTACAAGTTACAGTGCAAAAAAGTTTCGTTTTTTATCATTATTTCGAAAAATAAAACCTTAAAATGTTGCAATAGTGAAAATAAAATTTTATTATAAACATTTTGGTATATAAAAACTTTATTTTTTATTTTTTATATCCTTTTGGATGAAAACTTTCTTTATCGTTTTGCAAGTGCGACTTTCGTAAGCGCTACTTTTATATGTAGCAAACTAGTTTTATTTTGTAAGTCAACTTACAAAAGGCTACATTTCATAAGTATCACTTGCAATATGAACATCGACAGTTGTTGTTGTTTTTTTTCGTAAAATTCGGTATGAAAAAAAAAAATTCTTGATTCTCAATATTCTTCCGAAAGAATTTTATTTTTCTAGAATAGTACAAAATCTTTTGGTTTTTTCACAATTAACACAATGCTTGCAAATTTTGCAGCAGGTTGTAAAGGATAAATAAAAGATTAATTTTAAATTTGAATTGATTTTTTTAAACACTAAAATACAGATGAAATGCGAAAATACAAAAAAAAATTATCTTGTTACACTAAACCATACTAGTACGGGTAACAATCTTTAAAAGACATACTAGTATGTGTCCCACACTCAAGCATCAATTATCAGAAAACATACTAGTACATGTCTTACACGATATGTGGTAATCAAAAGATTTTAGATACTTTTTGTTGTTTTAACAATTTTAATCTTTTTGTTTATTATACAGAATAAAACATTTGAGATATTTGTTTAAATTTAATTTTTCAAAACTTACATTTATTTTATTTTTATAAAAAAAGCCACTCAACAAAGAGTATTTTTATCAATTTCAGACATTATTTGAGGATTGTTTTCCAAAGAAAAGATTCAAAATTTAACTGTCAGAGAAGTCAAACTCACCATTGATTAAAGAAAACCTACATTTTACACATTTTTTTTCTTTTCTTGAAATAAATCTGAGTTGTAATATTTCTACTCACAATTTATTCTGTTCAATTTGAGATAATAATAAAAATTTGATTTAAAAATGAAAAGCTGATATTGTACTTAGAGTCAAAAAATAAAAACATTTTTTTTTTTTTTTTTTAATGTGTTGCCTTTATAACATTATCTTCAACAATTAAAAGCCCAAAAATTGAAAACTTTTTAGGTGAATGTAATAAATCATTAAGTTTTTAATTAACTAGAAATTAAGAACTTAATTTTTAGCTTTAGGAAAAATAATATTAAACTCTTACCGATTATCTCTGATGGTTTTTTTTCCGGACGTACTTTCTCTTTTATCTCATTTCTCAGTTTAGGATCTTTTTTTGAAGCAAGACTTTTCAAAGAGTTTGTTTCTTTCAATTGTCGTGGGCTTCTTAGCCGCTTGACTACTTTTGTTGAATTCACATCACGTCTTTTTCTCTCCTTATCGCGTTCATCCTTATTACGTTCATCTTGTTTGTATAAGTCAGAATCACTTTGGAGTCTATCATGATCTGAGCGTGGTCTCCGAGTTTCACCTGATTTTTCTCGTTTCCCAGAAGGACTATTATCACGTCTTGTTTTTCTTGGGCGAGAAGAGTTTTGTTGTGATCGAGTACCACTCATCAGAGTGGCCAAACTATTTTTAAAAACAAAGTGTTCTAAAAAAATTGTTTTAAAACTTACATACTTTATGATTTATAGTTTATTACCATTTGAATTGAATTATACATTTTTGAATTATTCTTTATCTAAAATTTTAATATAAATTAAAATATTACAAAATTATTATGCGTTAAATGAAATGACTTAAATGAACACTGAATTTCACTGAATTGAACACTTAAAAACTTAATAACACTTTTCTAAGAAAATTTATTTTGTGGAATACTGACACTAATGTACATTGTGTACATTTATTCAAATTAAACAAATTTAACTTTCTAATTAATTAATTTCTAATTAATTAATTTCTAATTAATTCTAATTAAGTAAAGATAAACCTGCACAGTGTACATTTATACCATTATTATACATAAAAAAAATTATCTTTCAAAAGAACAACGAACCTTGCTGGGCAAGGTTTGTTGTTTACTTGAAATAATGAATAATAACAAAATTAATGAAAAGAGATGATTTTACATATTGGGTTACTACTGTGTAATTAAACTGAAATGAAGAAAAGGCTGAAATTACACTAATAAGCACTGAAAATAAGCACTGATAAGTGTAAAATAAAATTGATGCATGCGTGTTTATGTGTGTTTATATATATATATATATATATATATATATATATATATATATATATATATATATATATATATATATATATATATATATATATATATATATATATATATATACATATATATATATATATATATATATATATATATATATATATATATATATATATATATATATATATCTATATCTATATCTATATCTATATCTATATCTATATATATATATATATATATATATATATATATATATATATATATATATATATATATATATATATATATATATATATATATATATATATATATATATATATATATATATATATATATATATATATATATATATATATATATATATATATATATATATATATATATATATATATATATATATATATATATATATATATATATATATATATATCCACTTAACGCAAAGATATAAAGAGTACGTGAAGTTACGATATTGAAGACCGCTCTACTTATATTAGCAGGAGACCCGCGCTATACAAATCCGATAATAACTACGCACAAACAAAGTATTTTGCCGTCAGACCTTTTTATTTTAAAGTTTATGTCATGGCATTAGAGAACAAAAAAATGTGCTGGTACAAGATTTGTTTTAGACCACTTTTTCAATACTAGTCATATCTAGATAATTCAGTTGCACTAAACGAGTCGTCATTAGCATTGTATGCAAACTTTTATTTAAAACGAATGAAAACCTAATTTTTTAAATTGACGAATATCTTATTCTTGTAAGAAAATTTATATGAAGTGACAAAAAATATTTGTGGCCGTCGCAGAATTATAAACATTCTCAGGGTAAAACTAAACATCTATGGAGCGCGTGTCGTACTTGTAGTAAAATAAATTTACTTACTTAAATTGACGAGTAAATAATACTTGAATTTAGATCATTTACTAAAATAAATTGACAAATAATATTTGAACATAAACTTGAATATCTAAATAATTTTAAAAAATTTATTTAAAGTTTTAATAAGTTAAATTAAAACTGGGATTGTCCATAAAGTATGTACGCTCGGATGGGAAGAGGGGGTCTGCAAATGGTGCATATGAGAAGAAGGGCAGAGGGTCAATTATTAAAAGTATAGAGACACTAAATTAAAAAAGATAATATAAAATGTTGCGTAACTAGGTAAAAAGCGCAGGTACTTTTAGGGAGTGGTGGGTACTCATAAAAGGTCCTTACTTTATGGACTACCCCTTAACAAATATGTAAGTTGTAAACAAACGTCGCCGTCATACAGCGCTCGTCAATAATTTTGATGATTTGCTCTTACGTCAAAGTACTACCGATAAAAAAGTGCATCATGATACTTTCAAGTAAGTATTTTTTTTTAACGTTTACCATTTTCAATGCAGCAGTGTTAACTTGGATGTTGCAGTCGTAAAGTGGTTGCAATTGTTCTTAAATTTTTTTTTCTATTTACTGTCTAGATAAAAATGTCAGAGGCGTAGCCAGGATTTTTTGGTATTTGGTGCAGACATGGAGCATATTTTAAACATTTATTCGTTTATACTTACGTCAAATAAGAATGGGTTGCAAAAAAATTGTGATGGCTGGAGCCTGAGAAAAAAAAAGCTCCACATTTTTTGCCCTACTTTGCCCTTAACGTGAGAGCAACAAGTTGATAAGATAAATTTTTACTGTACTCGACTAAAGTTTTATTAATCGATAAATTTTAAGTTTTGTAATTTAATTCTGTAATGTAATGTAATGTTATTCTGCGAGTATAAAGATATTTCCGTTGCACATATATTTTGCAAATATAAAAGATAAATTAAAACATTATATGAAATCACTAAAGTAATAAACAATATCTTATCAAATTTAATTGAGAAAACGAAGGTTGTAGTTAAAAAAACAATGTTAGATGCGGGTACAGGATTAATTTAGTATTTTAGTTATGTGCTTTCAAGTAAGCTCAAACATTTGTTCTTTCATACTTAAGTCATATATAAATGTTTTACCCAAAATTGTGCTGGTTAAGCATAGAAACAAAAACATCCTAAAAATAATGAATATGTCCCTAAAAATTAATAATTAAAATTGATAAATAAAAAGTTTATTATTGAGAGCAGTTGAATCGTTAATAGGTTTTGGAGGTTGAGTTGTGTTATCTCTTGTGCGGCACTTTTTATAAAATAAAAATAAATATCTTTTACTTATCGCTATGTCATGCATCATAAAATCAAATCTTGCATTTTGATTTTTTGCACTGGTACCACTTTTTATTTGACGCAACATTTTTCATCCATTTGGATGGAAACGCTGCATGCACAGCATCGTCCGGACACTTGCTCTTCGGTGTTTGGCTTTTTTTAGTTTTTGCGTGAAAGTTTTTTTGAGGTGTATTTTACGTTAGGAAAAGTTTTTTTTATAGATAATTGATTTAAAATTTAAAATGATTCAAAATTAATAATAGGTTTATACGAATAATTTATGGAGATACAATAAAAATAACCATTCAAGTTGAAATAAAAGTCACGCTTTATTTTTATAAGATAAAAGAAAAAAAATTTTAATTGTATCAAACCTCCGATCTCTAGATTTTGAAGCTAGCAATCTAACCACTGTACTACGGCTGTTTGACTTTAGTTATCTCCATAACTAACATATTAATATTATCTATCTATTGCTAGCAAGTTAACAGATATTAAATACAAAGAAAAAAAAGAGAGTATATTTTGACGGCAATCACAATAAAGGAAATTGAAATTAAAGAGAAATTAACACGATGTTGAGCTTAAAAACGAGAGAAAATGCATTACGTTTACAAAATGGAAAGACCAAAATTATTTTTTTAAATTTCAAAGTTTCAGATGAACACAAACTGTGAAGTTTGCTTTACATTACTAATACAACCAGTTTCAACCTTGTCAAAAAAAAATTTAAGCATTTATCTAACGACAAATATTATTTTAAGCAAATAAATAAAAAACCGAAATTTACCATTCAGCCGCATTAAAGCTTATATTTAAGCAACTACTTTTAAAAGAATTCTACATGTGGTGAGGATGAATAACCTGTTATTCGCAGGGGCGGATACAGCATTTTTTGGTTTTCGAGATGCTTATTTCCAGACATGGAGTGAATTCCAAACATTTTTATGCTTATATTTATGTAAAATAAGTATGCTTTGCAAAAAATCGCAATGATTGGAGCCTGGGAATAAATTTTTTTTTCAATTTTTGCCACCTCTGCCTTTAACGCGAGAGCAACAAGTAAATAAAATATTTTCGTACTATTCTTAACTAGAATTATATTCATTGATAAATTTTATTTTTCGTAAAATAATCTCTAAGCTTTCAATAATTATAATCATATAAAATTTGTAAGCCCTTCAAATTGAGAAGGTTCAAACTTTGTATGGTCATAATTTTTGTACGCTGAAATACAATTTATTTGTAACAGTTCTTCAAGCAGTTCTTCAAGCAGTTCTTCAAGCATTCATGTACGATGAATGCTTGAACAAAGCATGCATTCATAATATATATATATATATATATATATATATATATATATATATATATATATATATATATATATATATATATAATATATATATATATATATATATATATATATATATATAGATAGATATATATATATATATATCTATATATATATATATATATATATATATATATATATATATATATATATATATATATATATATATTATGAATGCATGAACAAAGAATGTAAAACTTGTGAGCTAATGTTGTTTGATATACGCACGCTGCGTAAAACATACAACTTTGCCAATAGATTTTTTGCTTTGAAAAAGTTATTTTAAAAGAGTACTGAAAATAGATAAAATAAATAAAAGAGATAGAACTACCAGAAGCAATTCAAAAAAGCAATCGCTAACTAATAAATAAAGAGCACTCGGCAAAACAATGAAATAGATAAGCATTGTTAATCAGATATAAATTAACCAATTAATTAAGACGCTTTGAAAAGTAAAGTTGTATAAAGTACTTTAAACTTAACTTTTACTAAAACAGGCATTTGTATTATACTCATATATATATACCTGAATTAAAAGAAAAAGTAACGACTCCGACTCCGACTCCAGTTGTTGAAATTTTTTGAGTACAACTCCGACTTCAACTACATCTCCAAAGCAAAACTTTTGAAAAATTCTTTAAAAAATATTACGCAATAAGAAAAATTTTTTTTTCGACAAATTTATGAAACGTTCTTTGAGGTTTAGTATGAACTTAAGGTTAATTAAATGTTTTGTACATGCACGTGCAATACCGAGAAGTTTTACTATTTGAGTCGGAGTCGCGATTTTCTTTAACAACTCCGACTCCGCTAAAAATGTTGCAACTCCGCAACTCCGACTCCGACTCCACTGCCCTGTATATACCCATGTATGTTAAAGTAAAATTAAAGGGTTTCTTTTTTTTTCGGCGTGGTCTATAACATAGACCACGCCGAAAAAAAAAGATATAATCTCCTTAATCTTCTTAATCTTCGTTTTAAGGTTGTTGTAACACGACTAACTTTCGTTTATTAAGCGTTTAAGCTTTTGATTTGGCGCGAATTTGTTATTATTTGTGCTCAACTAGTAAAAATGTTGCTTTAGAAATTATGAGAGCTTCCATAGATTTTATTGAGAGCTTTCATAGATTTTATTGAGAGCTTCCATAGATTTTATACTTCTAAACTGATTTTTCTATAAAATAAATATAAAAAAAACGCACAAGTAGAACAATTGAATTTGTCGAAAAATTGAATTAAACAAATTCGTATTGCAAATAGACATTAATAGAAATAATTAAACAATTTTTTTCGTGTTATTATAAACTAAAATTTTTTTGTAAATCTAATTTATTAATTATTCCCATTATGGATCTAAGATTTTTTTGTGTTTAACTTTTAAAGGTAGTGCAAGCATTTTTCAGTTCATACTGTTTTTAAATGAGGATGAATTGAAAAAAACTTAAAAAAGAAAAAAGTTTATAAGAGTTAATCCTTAATCTTTAAATTTAATGTTTTCTACCAGTTTTGATCTCGAATACCTATTCAAAAAAAATTTTAAACAATTTAAAAAAAGAAATTTTTTTTTGCTTTTTTAAAGTTAATCAAAATTCATTAATTCAAATTTAATAAAAAAATCGCTTTTTTGGTGTTTTTTTATATTTTTCTAGACTTTTAGTGTTATTTATTATTTTTCTTGAAAAGTTGAGTTTACATTTAAAAAGAGCACATTTTAAACTTTTTTTTCGTACATGTTGTTAAAAAAGATGACTTGCTAAATAATTACAGTGATTAGAGTTATTATCCAAAAAGCCTCAGAGCAAGATCCCATTAATTAGACCTTTGGATATTAAATCCAATAATATCTTATTTCTATTTAAAGAAAATTATATGCATGTCTGCTGATTTTTAGATATTTGTTTCGGTCAACATTATTTAAATTTGTTTGAAAATCTTTCAAAGATTTTTTAAAAGCGAAAGGTAATTCATTAGCAAAGCCTAATGCATTACCTTTCGCTTTTATTTAACCATTTATTGAAATTAAGTTGTCCATCTAGACCTTGATGAGTCACTCGTTACTTAAAAACTGTTTTTATATCTCCAGTTTTGACACAAGATTCAGCGCTGAAGTTGTATTCATGTCTCACAGTTAAACTGATTCTTAGTTTGAACGGAGCCTTAGTTTAAACGGAACCTTTGTTTGAAATTTTATTACAACTTTTATAAGTGAGGAAATAATAAAAATTTAAATACATTTAAAAACTAATACGATAAAAAAACATTTACGTTAAAGTTATAGTTAAATTAAATTTTTGACTAACGCCCTGCTTAGTTTAACTAAGAGATACGAATACGGCCCCTGGACACCACTTCCAACTGCTCAGAATTCAAATCTCAATCTGGTGGCAAATGTGTCAACGCTTAGAAGTCAAAACGTATCGCAAAATGCTATAGATTGTGCTTTGTTATAAAGGTTTCTTAAAAATTTCTTAATGGAAATTCAAAATTTAAAATTAGGGATACATTGAATTTATTGAATAGAATTTTATATACAGGGGAAAACGTAAAAAAAAAGCCCTTAACAGGATTGTAACGTGTTTAATGTAGGTATTTAAATTAAATGTGTTTAATGTAGGTAGAGTAAAAGTACCGCAAATTGGACACTCTCTACAAAAAGCTAAATAGCTTTTTTAATATTAAGAATTTGTAGGATTTTTTTTCCTGGAATATAGTTGTCTATTAGAGCATTTCTGCAGTGTAAAAAAAATTTTGAATTTTAAGTTTCTATGGAAAATAAGATTTTTCTTTTTTTTTTAAGTGTCCGCTTTTTGGAAAATTGTCCCTAAAAGCGGACAGTTACAAAAAAAAATGTAAAAAACATAGGTAAATTGATAAATTCAATATTTATTTTTTTTATTGTTAAAATATACACATAAAAATAATACAAACAGAAAAAATTTAAAAAGATAAATAAAAAAACATGAGCGAGCTTGAAATAAAATTAAAAATTTATAAACTAGGTTCTGCAACTTTTTGTGCAAAAGAATTCTTCGCCTTTTATATATCTTTTTGGGAGACAAGATTCACAAAACCACGAACTGCAACTTGATTTTTCACAAGTTTTCCATAAAACTTGCATATTTGGCTTTTCATTTTCAATAAACTTTTGGCACATTTTGTACTTTTTTTTGCCTTTCTTGGCAGGAGTTTTTTTTTCTGCAGAAATTGAAGCTGCAGATCTGCAGCTTCAATTTCAACATATGTTCGTTTTAATAGCTTTGCGTCTTCTTCTTCTCTTAACTAGTTTAACCATGGCAAAGAACTTGGGCTGCGTGGTGATTTTGTAACTAAGATGTTATTAAAGTATTATTAAAAGTTTGATAAATTTGTAGCTTTAATTTGTTAATGTTTTATTATTAATTAATTGTTTAATGGAAAGAGCCCAGTGTTTTCAAAACTTGGAATAGTTTGAGTACGATTGTAAGCTTTGTTGCTTCTATACATCTGTGCAAGGAGACTTGATGAAATTTTTTTTGGACAAATTGCTAAAACCGCTTTCAGCATAAAATTTTCTTAAAATATCACACCAAACATTTTTAACATGGCAAAATACACCAACATCGAGAGGCTGCAGAATACAAATTAGTGTTATATCATCTTTAAGGCTACACTTAATGGCACGTGTGTGCTGTGGCCATCCAAAAGTAAAATATGTTGACCACCAATTGAGGAATAAACATTTCATCGAGGTACTGCTGCTATTACTTCTTCTTATGTTGGCTCTGCATTCATTGTTACTTCGGCATAATCTTCTAGCTCTGTTTATGACACCCTCTACAAAAGATCCTTAATTTTATCAGGTAAGTTATAAATGGGTTTCCTATAAACCTCACTGTTATTTATTTAACAATCACGACTGCAGTGTATCTCAAATTGACTAACATAATGACTACAATGCGTATTTGTGTGTGCTAATATATAACTTTTTGTATTTTACAAAGAAGCAAATGAAGTTAAAAAGAAATCATTATCAGAAATCAGGAACTTGATAAAACTTATCCTTCTGATACCAGCAACAAACGCTACTAGCGAAAGAGCTTTCAGCATACTAAGAAGAATCAAAACTTGGTTAAAAAGCACCATAATTCAAGCACGGTTAAACTGGTGTATGCTGTTAAATATACACATAAAAAACTGATAAACTGAATATCATAGCTATAGCCAATGATTTTTGTAGCCGAAGTGAAGGTAGAAAAACTGTATTTTGGAATATAATATTTCCGCATTCGGAAAAACTAAATTTTAAGGCCGTATTTTACTTCATATCATTTGAAAAAAAAAAAAAAATTAGTGTAATGCATACAGTAGAGGCATTACTACAGAATTCTGAAGAGTTTTATTGTGAAGAGACATGTTATTTGCGCCCCTACTCTTCATATCCCCTCCCCCAGATTAAATAAGTTGTCTACGGCCATGTTGTGTAAAGTGTGTTTGGTGAGCCTCTTTTAATCCAATCATCATTGAATTGATTCTTTGATTTGTAAACAACAAAAGGCGGTAGAAGGAATCCGTCGCCAGTAAAAGCAGTGCAGTTTATTTTTTCTTTATTTCCAGTTAATACTAGTTGACACTTTGCACCTCTTCTAGTAATTACTTTTGCATTACCTTTGTCACCATTGAAACCAGTTTTATCACAATTCCACAAACGCATGGCTTTACTAAAATTTTGCTAAATCAAAATGTTTTTTTAAAACATCAAAATTTCTTGTATGCATGCTCTCAAAGATGCGATGTTTGTAGCTGTTCTTTCTCTTAGTTCTGAGTGCCATCGACTCATAAATCCTTTTTACCGTTTGCAACCAGACGTTCTATTTTTGAATAAACACGTTTCATCATTTTCAATTAAATAGTCTCTCACTAAACTTCAAACTTGATCTAATCGTCTACCAAAGTCCCAATCGCCAAGCATCTGAAGAAGGTGAACCAAGGTTAACTCGATAAAAGGGCTCAATTTTGTTGTATTGCCACTGCCAACTACTAAAGTCTTATTTAATTTTCGGTCGGATAACGTTGATTTTGGTATGCGTAGAATTGAGCTGCGTCTCTTAAGCTTAACTCGCCATTTTCAATCTTATTCAATGGGTTTTTTATTGTCAGTTTAGTTTAGCAAATTCAATTCAGTTACAGATTTTTGAAATTGAAGAAACTTTTGCACTTTTGTACTTTGTGTACTTTTGCACTTTAACTTCATCAGTGCAAAAGTACAAAATTAATTAACACGAATGTGTAAAAAACTTGAAAAAACCAAATGAGAAAAATTCAGTCAGTGTGAAAAAATGATAATATAAATTAATTTTAAAATAATAAAATTCAATTAGACTAAAAAAATAATAAACATATTAGCCTTTTAAATTTTAATTAATTATAGGGGGAATTTATTGTGTCCGGTCTAAGGTGAAAACTAAAGAAAATCTTGTTTCCGTCATAACTTTTTAACGGAGTAAGATTTTGAAAATCTAAAGTTAATTTCGGAATTAGCAGAAAATTTCCAACAAAATAGCTTTATTTATTTTTTTAATTGCCTTTTTAAATCTTTCATGCTAAGAACCTAATTTTCAAAAAAAAAGTTCGATTTTTAGCGTTAGATTTAATTTGAACTTAAATATCTTATGAAAGCAAAGTTTTTATAACTTTTTTTTGAAATTTTATAATTTTATAACACACTTAAAAATTTTATACACTAAAAATTGAAAACTTTTTTAAAATTTGCAAATATTTTTATTTTTAGTAAAGAAATTTAGTTTTCCCGATAAGTGTCCGCTTTTGCGCACTGTCCGGTTTGTGATACTTTTACTCTATTTAATTTAAATTTTAAAAAGTTATTATTTTTTTTACATTTTCTTTTAACTCTAGTGGAGTCGAGGAGTTTATCAAAATTTACATCTGTTTTATTATAAAAAAAATATTTGTCACATAAAATGTTGTTCAAGATTGAAGGAAATTGTTGTTGGGTGTACGGTTGATTTTCTTATGTGTTCTTTTTTTGTTTTTAAATGACTAAACATTTTTTTAAATTGATTTCTCATTGGCGAAGAAAGAAATATGCATATTATTACATCTGTTAGAGTACCAAAATAAAAGAAAGTGTTAAAATAGATACCATAGGATAAGATACTTGGTTTTAGCTTAACTAAACAACCGATGATTATGCCTGGTATTATTGAAAACAACGCATAGTTAACAACAATGCTGAAACCAAGCAAGCTCTTAAAAAACCGTTCAAACTTCTTTTTGTTTTTTGCCTTGCCATTAAACGAAGATTTAGAAAGTTCGCCAACTTTTCTGTTATAAAGTTGATAGTATTTGTAAAATATATACATAAAAGTACTAAATATAGTAACCAGTATAATTCCATTTGTAACAGGAAATAAATATACGAAGCAAAAATAAGATAAAACCGTTAATAAATCAAATATCATAAAACATGCTGTTAGCATTATTGATAGTATAGTTATTACGGTCAAGGCTGCTTTAACTCGGTTGTATTTCCAAATTTGGTCATAACGCAAATTAAAATATATTTCAGAAAACTTACTGGCAATCAAAATATATATAATACAGTATTGTTCAAACGATAAACCAATATTTAGGTAGATGGTAATATATTTAAGTGCTTTTTGAGCATTTAAAGTTTCACACAAAATTTGAGTAGCAAGACAAGCGACCATCTGTAGATCGATTAATAAAATAGCCAACAAAATTAAAAATTCAATTTCAACTAATTTATTTTTTGCTTTATGCAATACGTATATTCCAAATATTTGAATCGGCATTACTCCATACCCTATTCCAACAAGTAAGTAATTTGTAAACATATCTTTTTCTAAAAAAGAATGTTATTAGTGATTATACAATTTCTTAAATCGCGTTGGTCAACCACACTCTCTAATGACATATATACAAAACATGAAAAACTAAATATAACTTAAATAACTAAATATAACATAAATGACTAAATATAACATAGAATATATTTATACATGTAATACATACATAACACATATAAATCAAACAAATTTCTGTGTTAATAAGAAATCAATAAAATTTTCTTTCTATTAAAAACGATATCTCAATCTTTGAGAAAAAATTGAGATTTGCTAAATATTTGCTAAATATTTGAAACGACTATCAACTCAAATATAGTTTCAGACTGGAAAATTATAATTTTGCTGTTGCTATCATAAAATTTTTTTAAAAACTGTTAGAAAATGGGGAAGGGGGCTAAATACAGTGTTGCCCTCCCCCCCCCCCAGTGTTTTAGTTGAGTGGCTATCGTCCCCTCTCCCCCCCCCCCCCCCCCTATTCCTACGCCAATGTATGTATATATGTTTTACATGTTTAATTATCTCAAAATATGTACAGTCAATCAACATTTGCTTACTATTTTTTTTCTGTTTCATTTATATAATAAGTAATTAATCATAGTTACTCATTGATCATGTTGAATTTAAATGTGAACTTTGTAATATTATAATTGCCTGTATTTGTCTTCTAAATCATTTATATATATATATATATATATATATATATATTTATATATATATATATATTCGTAAGATGAATGCTGGGACAGTCCATGATATTTTATAATATAAAATTCAACCTAATAAGAAAATAAAAAAGGAAAAATATATAGAATACTCAGCCTTTAATTATGATATACATAAACATTAATTGTCTGAATTCTTTTGATTTTTAGGAAATTCAATAAATAGTCATCAAAAATTATCACAAATGCATAAACATATTGAGAAGTATGTTGAATGCTTTGTAGGTTTAAGGTTTTAACTTGCTTTTTTTAAAAAGAAAACCAAAAAGAAGTTGTCACTACAGTATTGTCAAATAATTTATGTTTTAATGACAAGAAATTAATGACGTGATGTTTATATTGGTACACTTTAAAGTAAAATAAATTGCTTTGGCAACAAGTTAAATTAGTTACACTACAATGTATTACTATTAAGCATCTGCGTCTCAAAACGGTACAAGACGAAACGATAAAAAAATATTACTTCTTTTGTAAAAACCGGTACGAAACGAAATAAAGTTAAACTTTTTATTTAAACTTTCGTTTACGAAACATTAATTTAGTGAGTATTAAATGCGCATTTGTTCTGCTTGAATGTTATAGTTCATATATTGTTCGGTTTGTGGGAATTGTAAAACATCTGTTTCGAGCGGGGAATTATGAAATGTTACGTAAAAATCTATACGAAACGAAACAAAATTTTTTGTTTCGTAAAAATACGATACAAAACGATATGACATTTTTTTTGCTTTGTAAAAACGGCACGAAAAGAAAATTATCGTTTTCTACCGTGTCAAACAAGACGCAGATGTCTAATTACTATAGCAGTTTTTTTTAGTTATCTGTTCTTAAGTAAAAATAATTACCTTTAAATTTTTAACTTAACACATATATCTTGATGAAATACTAATTTAACTATGTAATCATTAAAACACAAATAATTCAATTTAACACTACATCTTTTCAAGATGTAAATGAGAACATGAAAGTTGTAATTAAGAAGTCGTAATATGTAATTAAGAAACACAACATGTAATTGAGAAAACGTTATATGTAATTGAGAAACACAATATGTAAATAAGAAGTCGTAACATGTAATTAAGAAACACAACATGTAATTGAGAAAACGTAAGATATAATTGAGAAATCATAATATGTAATTGAGAAATCGTAACTTGTAATTGAGAACACATAAATTAAAATAGCAAATTCACAGTCTAAGTTTGTAGGTTGTTACAAAAGGTCTTTTTGGACATGAATTTAAGTTATAATCTTAAATTTTGCTTTTGTATGCACAAGTAATAATAATGGAATTGAAAGATCGTTGTGTTATATGCCAATACACTATGACCCGAAAGTCTGTGATTAAGCTAAATCCGTGTCAACATTTATGTCACCAAATTTGTTTACGTCCAGTTCTGGAACAACCAGATTCAAGTTGTCCGATTTGTCGGCATGAAATACACACAACTGAACAAGTTCAAAGGAAACGTTACGTTTTATCTTCTCCAAATGACAGGAGAAGAGTTGTTGAATGTGCGGAGCGATTTGAAGATTGGGCGAATCTCGCGCAAACGCTAGGTATCAAATATAAGACAGCATACAATTGGGTTCGCAGAGGAAATTCAAATTTCATCAGAAAAGGAGGTTTTAAACCGAAAAAGTTGACCGAAGATCAAATCGAAGAAACATTAACATGGATTGAAAATGATTGTCAATTAACATTGGTGGCCATCAAAACAAAGATATTAAGACAATTTAACATAAACGTTAGCACAACAACAATAGCAAATTACCTCGAAGGCAGATTGTTCTCATTAAAAAAAGTGCACAAAGAGCCTTCTACAATGAACAGTTATGAAAACAAACAAAAAAGAGCTGAATATGTTAGGAACATCAACGAACATATCACAAATGGTCGTCAGATAGTTTGGTTGGATGAAACAAATTTTAACCTTTTTTGTAGAAAAACGCAAGAGCAATTATAAAAGTACCTGCTTCAAAAGGTTTAAACATACACTTGATCACAGCTATTTCAACTACAAATGTCGTCATGATAGAAACTCGCAGGGGATCATTTAAAGCAGATTCCTGTAACGAGTGGATGTTTGCTATGTTTCACCAGTGGGTTACATCCGGGAATCGTTTGGAGGATTTGGTCGTCGTAACAGATAATGCTCCTTGTCACGCTCGTTTGCAAAGGGTGTTTGATAATTCACCAGATCAGTTGTTACGTTTGGGACCTTACAGTCCAATGTTGAACCCGGTGGAAACGATCTGGTCCAAAATTAAAAGTAACGTTAAAAATGCAATTCGCATTCCACCTGTATTAGGTGACGGGATTGCGGAACAGCGCATGCAGTACTTAGAACGAATTGTAATTGTGGCGAAAAATACTATAATGGGAGGAGATTGTGCACGTGCGGTACAACACACAACCACGCACTATGCAACTATTTTAAATATGGAAGACGTACAAGTTGGTGCTTAAATGATCAATGAAGTGATTTTTAATTATATAATTTTTAATTATAATTTTTAATTGAATTATAAATTTTTCCCTAAAATGTTTTTAGTGTTTATTATGTTAAATTCATTTGCCCAAAAATTATAAATTTTTCCCAAATTTTTCCCTAAAAAATTAAATTTACGCTACAAATCTTGCGTCATTTTTAAGTGCGTCATTTTATACGCTCCATTTTTTTACGCGCCATTTTTTTTAAGCGCCATTTTACACTTACTCCTTTAAAGCGATATCTAAATTAAAATTTTTGTGATCTCAATTACATCTTTCTATTTCTTAATTACAACTTACATTTTCTCAATTACATGTTACGATTCTTAATTACAATTTTCGTTTTCTAAATTACATCTTATGTTTCTTAATTACAACTTACGTTTTCTCAATTACATCTTACGTTTCTTAATTACAACTTTTGTTTTCTCAATTACATCTTACGATTCTTAATTACAATTTTTGTTTTCTCAATTACATCTTGAAAAGGTGTAGACAAAAATATGAAGTTTTACTATTAACTAAAATCTTACAGTCTTAAAAGATTTACAGTGTAAATTTTACACAATTGTCATCTTATTATTAGCAATGTTGTTTAAGCTGCAGGATCTAGTATCATTCTACTTTTGGTAATTTGATTAAAGTTTACAGCTATTTTGACTTGTTGCGAATATTTTAACCTATTAGCTATCGAAAACGTGTTTTTGAGAGGTTTTAGTAATAAGCGTTTAAAATCGTTTGCAAACAATCAATTTAGAAAAAGATTGACTTTAGTCAACAGAAAACTTATGCTTCCTCGTGTCTTCTAGATTGCAAATAAATTACAAAAAAAGAATTTAAACTAAATTTATTTATTCAACATAAAAAGTCAAATAAACGCCAGTTACAACAAATGTTCATACTTATTGTTGTATTTACTATCTACTTACCATTTTCATACCAAATTCTAATTTGATATATATAGATAAATTATATGATAAACTCTCGTCTAGTAAGCGATCAAAGTTGATATTAGACCGGGGTCTGGGCCGGGTTTGATAAAATATAGCCGGAGCCGGGACCGGTGCTGCATATACATTTATACATCCTAAACTATATACTTTTTAATCAAAATTTATGTTATAATTTGTATATATATGCATATATAAACATTATAAGATCAACATTATCATCAAAATCATCATTACCAACATCATCATCATCATCATCATCATCATCATCATCATCATTATCATCAACGTCTGATCATCTTCTCGGCAAATTCTACACCATAAAAAAGTTTATATCAATATGAAAGAATATCGTATGCCAGCATCTAATTAAATAGCAAACATATATGTTTTTATCCATATTGTGTATGCATCTCGAAAGCTTATATTCCTTCTGGACTAAAGGTTTGGAAGCTTTTATTCCCACACTTAAATTTCAAGTCAAACCTTATTCTACTCCACATTTTTCACCATCTTGAGCAGTTACTTTATTAAACATTAATCTTTTTTTTTTATCTTTTTTCTCTTAAGAACAAATGTCTTTTTATTATTCCAAAAAGCCAATGTAAAAATGTCCTGTCTGATGGTAAGCTCTGTTATTCTTAGTTTACTAAATCTTAGTTTACTAAATCTCTAATTCATGGGTCTAATTTATTTAGTTCTCCTCAGAATAAAGCAGAGTTATTTGCAAAGAAATCTTACTCTAATTTGAATTTTAAATCTAATGGCCTTACTCTTTCTGCCAGTTAACCGATTGTTAAACATTCAAATCACTCTCGCTTCCAATTTTAAAGTTTATTCTTAATCAAACACATTTACAGTTTGTGCTTCAGACAAGATTTCCATCATAGTTTTAAAATAGTGTTTTCTAGAACTTTCTAAATAAGTGGTTCCAATTTTTCAAAACTCTAAAAAATACTTTGACCTCTCTAACTATCTTACTTAGACTAATCGCCTTCATTCTGTTATTAATTTCTTTATATAAAGTTTTTGATATTATTAAATTATTTCTTTTTAACTGCAGTATTAAAGTTATTCTTGAAGGCCTACACTCCTTCACTTTACACTCTTCTTTATTTTAAGTAACTTTAAGAGTACCACAAAGTTATATTGCTCCTGTATTGTTTATTATCTACAATATCAATCTTCATAAAAATTTTAAATCTAAAGTGGCCTTATTAGTTGATGACTCAACTTTATACTCTTGTTTTGACATAAAATTTTCACTTTTATGATTGTTTAAAACAAATAGCCAATTTTTAATCTAACCTCTCTTAACAGCCTAAGGCTTGCTGTGGCTTATGGATTTAAATTCTAGACTTAAAATTCACAACTTTTGTTAGATTTTGTTAGAACAAAACTCATTTATTTACTGCAAAAAAATTAATATCAATATTGACATAATGTTGGCATTCCTATATTGATGAATAATAACCCTCTTACTCTCAGACTAAGTCTAAAAGCACATTATAAACGTAATTAGACCTGCTTTATCTGACAAGTTTAAGCCACTCTCAGGGCCGTCCTGAACGGAAGGTGGGGTGTAATAGTGTTCCACCTACCCTCCCCTACATCAAAGCTCTCATATAAGCATTTTAGTTGCAACATTGAGCAAGTTTTGAACTATAGGTGGCAAGTTACAAAAATCTTTTTTTTTTTAGTGTCTCTAGTTAACAAAAAATACACACACACATTAAAAACCTCTTCCAGACGGCCTTGGCCATTCTCCCATTGTTGTAAGGTTGCGTTTCTTTCTTTTTTCAACAAATACCATCATGATCAATGCTCATACGAGCTATTATCTGTATTACAATAAGCCAAAACTCATTCAAGCTTAGTCCTTATTCAACAACTTGCATCTTTTTACTATACCTGTCCCTTCATGCTTATTAATCCAGTTTTTTTCCTTATTTGTCAAAAACCTTCTAGCTTTTAGCCATCTTCATGTTTTTCTTTTACATACAACCTACAACTTTTTAAATTTTCAGTTAACTTTTCCTATTATTTTAACTTATTCTCTATTTTAAAGTAACTCATTGCTTAATAGTGATTGCTTGCAATCTTGTTGGAAGTAAATTAGAGTTTGAAAATATATAACTATATGCCAGTATTTGATAAGCAATAAATGTAAACATAAAATTATAATATATAAAGTGTTATAAATTTTTTTCTAGTCCTGGCTATCAAACCCTGCTAAATCTTATAGTTTTGCCGGGGTCCGGGTTTGAAAAAGTCTAATTTTTAGCCGAGGACAGGGCCCTGGTCACTTATTACTCTCCTACCCCCACCCTACACATGTATGCTGTATATGCCCAAAAGCAAGTAACTTGAGACATGAACATTTGTAAAAAAAAAGTTCAAACTATTAGAATGACGCATGAGTATTCATAATTAATTATTAGTCCGTAGTAATTATTAGCCTTAAAGACGTCCTAGGGGCTAATAATTAATTAATAACTAATAATTATCTTTTGTCATCATAAAGAAAAATAAGTTTAAAAAATGCCTATAAATCACAATGAGTCTTTAATTTATGTATCTTATTTCCCTTACATAGTTTATTTCCATAGTGTAATATTGCGTAAGGGAATTCCACCCATGTGAACCTAAAAAAAACTAGACTAAGGAATGCTATAAATATTACCGTTCTCTCCTTTTATATTTTAACCAATTAGGTTCTTGTAAAATTCCTTTTAACTTTTTTTTTCACTTAATTTAGATAATGGGTCCCAGTTTTGTGGAATAATATTATTTTTCTTTATAACTGTAAAAGCTTTATTTTTTAATGAAATTTTATGCTATAAGACAAATTAAGTTTAAAAAGTTCAATCGTGTAAAGCGTATAAAAGGTTACGGAGCGAACTTAGAAGGTTGTTTCCTTTTTTTAGTCAAAATATTTCAACCAATAATGTAATCTTATTTTATAAGATTTTTAAAAAACCATTTACAGTTTAAGCAAAGAAATGGATTTAAAATGTAAACTAATATTTAAATAGGTAGTCATTCTAAATTGATTAAATAATGTACCTAGTAATGTAGAGGTAAAACTGAGTGGTAGTGAGGGAGAAGTTAAAGTCTTTCTGTAAGTAAGAGTTGAGTACGTCAAGCACACTATCATGTTGCAAAGTACCAAATTTAGTTTGTTTATCCGCACAGTTCATCGAGGTTTGTAATTTGGAACTATAGGGTTAAAAAAAAAAAGTAATATAACTTACTAAAAAATGAAAATTAAGTTATAAAAAATGAGTGACCTTTTTTACTGAAGCTGTCTTTTGGGTCTCTAGGAAAATTGAATAAGTCTTAAGAAAAAGATTCAAATAAACACGTCTGACGTCATTGCGAATAATAAAAATTATAAAAATAATATAACTCCATATTTTATTGAAAACGTTAAACAAAAAAAAATTATTTGTATTTTCAATTTTTTTTAAGTCGGTACGCAGGTGCTGAACATAAAGTTTTTTGTGATAATTTGATTGGTAATTTAAATTGTTATTAAATATGATTATTTAATTACAATTTTTATTTTTTAAGAAACAATGTGTAACAATAAAACCACCCGAAAAGGTATTGTAATAAATACATTTATTACAATATCACTCGATTGCAATTTTCCTTATAAAGAAAAGTGTTTTCAAGTCCTTCATAATTTTGTTTTTACGTTTTGTTTTTTTAACAAAACGTTAAAACAAAATTATGAAGTAAATATAAATATAAATTTTATTTGAAAATAAAATTTAAACTTATATTTCAATCATTTTAATTTCTACAAATTTTTTATATACCATTTTTTTAATTATATTATATAGATTATATGAACCATTTTCAGAGTATGATTCATATAATGTATATAATATTAATTATATTATATACATTATATGAATCATTTTCAATCAATCAGAAGGGCCAAGCCCGCGACCCATTGGGGAGCCAATGGGTCGCGGGCTTGGCCCCTCCCATCTCCATTTATATTGCTTTTTTTCAGGATAACTTTTTTTTTAATTTTTCAAAATTAAAAAAAAAATTTGAAATTTTTAGATATTGACAACCTTAATTTTTAGAAATTATTGATTTTGCCCTCCGCGTCGTCAGCCCTGTAAGCTTAGAAATTTAATAAATAATAATAAATCAGTTAATAATTTAGCAAAGCTCTTAAAAGATGTTTTTGACTTTTAAACTTTTCTATGTTTATTGTATTTTACAGAAATTACAAAAATTGTATATTTTTTGTCTATATTTATTACATTAGTAGTGAACTTTGCGTACAATATAAATAAAGCACACTTCTGTACTAATGTATTTTTTTGTATATACTCTGGAATGAATACAATATATCACATTCTTAAATAACTTAAATAAAATGGAATAAGTTTAGTGATATTTCTAGATGTAAGACAGCTCAAAAAAAATATTTCGACCTGGGAAGTAAAATTAGATCAATTGATTAACATTAGGGGAGATGGGGGCGCATTGATCGCGGTTGCAGTATTTTGAAAACTGCAAACAACCCGATCTAGATATAAAAACTTATTAATTACTAAACTAAACTAGAACAATCTGTCTTTAAGTAAAAATAAATGTTTTAATAAAAAACATTAATGAACATGGTATATTTCAACATTACAACAACCCTTGCAAAAAATCAATGTACCCCATGCAATGGGGTACTATGATCTCCGATATGGGGCGCTTTGATCTTATATGAGTAACATTATTTACATGTTTAATACTGCTATACCTAAGTGCTACAAATGCATTAGTTGAAGGGTATTAGTGTATATTATATAATACATCTAAAAAAAAAAGTAAATATTAAAACATATATATATATATATATATATATATATATATATATATATATATATATATATATATATATATATATATATATATATATATATATACATATTATTACAACCTAATACACACCAGTGTATAAAGTTTACATTAGAAGAATAACCACAATTCTATCTATGAAAATAAGCTCGTTATATACTACTAACATATATATGTGTTAAGTTTTACAAAACTTAAAGCTTATAAAGTCTATAAGAATACAGTATATTAAGTTTACAAAGAAAATACAAGATTCATACAAGACTTTTATTAGAACTAAAGTTTACAAGATTATTTTTTTATATTATCATCCTTTGTCAAAGTCAAGTCGTGATGCTGCTTTTACATTACATTGTTTTTTGTTTCTAAGCAAGTAGTTTTTAACTTTTCCTTGGTGATACTTTGTTCAAAAAACTTGTTTCATGATGTACTACAGGCATTTCAGGCTCCATGCCATCAACATGTGCTACAGTCATTTCATGTTCCACAAGAATTGTGTTTACTACATTTGGAGCAGCACGATCTGTAACTGATGATGGTAAATATTCATCATCTTTAAAAATTTCTGGATTAAATGGCTCAATGCCAGCTACTTGAAATCCTCTCTGTATATTAGATGGTGAGAAAGCTTTTGTATATGGTTCGCAAACTATTGAAACAATATCATAAATGGTCATAGGTCTTGGATTTGTGACCATCCAATTATCACACGCAGCATTGTAAAACCTTTTCAATGGTCCAAAAACAGTTCTACCCAATGGTTGCAATTTATGGGTACAATGGAGAGGAAAACTTAGCATTGTAATTCCATGTTGAATTGCAAGATCCAAAGCTCTAACAGAAATAAGACTTTTATGGCTGTCCAGAAGTAACAAAACTGGAGATTCATGAGAACAGTTAGAATACCTCACAAAATGTTTTATCCATTCTATAAAAATGTCTGAATTCATCCAACCAGAAGGATTTGCAAATCCCACGCATCCAGGAGGACCTTCCTTTATCATGTAATCATGAAATTTGACCCTAGGAAAAACAAATAGTGGAGGAATAGAGTTTCCAATTGCATTTGAAGCACAACATACAGTTACTAATGTTCCTCATTTTGCAGATGTGATTCTTCCTACTTGTTTACTTCCTTTACCTGCTAACACTTTTACTGGCTTTTGCACTGTTGTTAAACCAGTTTCATCAACATTATATATGCAATAAGGATCAAACTTATATCGATTTCTTACTGTTTTTAGATTTTGGAAAAATTCTCCAACAGTGTGTCGGTTAAAGGCAGTTGATCGAGCAAAGCTAGTTGCTTCAGGTGTTCATAAAGACAATTCTGGTTGTCTTTTCATAAAACTTTGCAACCAATCAATCCCTGCAATTTTATTCTCGATCCATGATGAAGGGCAAATCTTATTATTTTTTACAGCAAACTCGTATGCCAATAATCGTGTTGACTTAGTTGAAAGTCCATAGTTCATTTTTGATGCAAGTAGTAAATAACTTGACAAATTTTTTTTATTTTCTGCAGTAAAAACTTGTTTATTGTTGTAATTAGGCTTAAAAGATTCATTTGGGTTGAGCTTCTTTTTATTACAATATCTTTTTAAGGTCATTCGATTTATGCTAAACTTGCGAGCTACAACATTCACTGGTCTGCCCTCTAAAACTTCATTAACAGCTGATTTCATTGTATCACATGATATAGCAACTCTGTCTGTTTTTTTTTTTTTTTTCTATACCTAACCATTTAAAGATCTGAAAATTTAAAAAAAAGTAAAATTAAATGATTGTTTAAAAAAAATATTTTATATAATAATATTATGTAAACTAATTGTAAAACTTATGTACAACTAAAAACTAATGCTATTAATATTAGTTTTTAACACTATCACATTTTAAAAATGAAATTTTAAAAGTTTATATAAAGATTTTTTATTCGTCATAGGTTTAAATGTATAAAATTTAAACAAAAAATTTAAGTCTTATAATATAAGTTATATGGGACACTTTGATCCTCCGATCAATGAGCCCCGCATAGTCAACGATCAATGTGCCCCATTAGGTACAGTTGATATATTGATGCCAATAACTTCTATAAATACAGTAACCAACTCAAAAAAACAAATTTATTATAAACTTAACACATATGAGTTTACAATAAAAAACAAAAAACTTGAAGATACGAAATTCAAACGAAAAATCTTCTTCAAAAAAGAATATAATAAATAAAAACAAGAGAACTTTAAAACTGTATTGGTCAAAAATTTTAATTGAAGCTATTATATTATTTAATAAAACCTATTTTTATTTTACGCCTGTAATGTCTTCTTTTTTGAGGATTTGATTTATATAATTTTGTAACAATTTTTGTACCATTTTTTATTACACCTGATGATGCTTACCGCTATAGATAAGCAAAATATTGTAAATATATAATAATATCAAAAAATATTCAAAGCAAAAAGTTTATACATAGTCTTCTTAATCAAAATTCAACATATAAAAAAAAGTTAAATTTTTTTCTATCCAATCAAATAATCTGACGACTATTTGTGATATGTTTGTTGATATTCTTAACATAAACAGCTCTTTTAGTTTATTTTCATTACTGTTCATTATAAAAGGCTCCTGAAGCACGTTTTTTAACAAAAAAAAGGTCTGCCTTTGAGGTAATTTTTGTTGACTCTTATATTGTCTTATTATCTTTGTTTTGATGGCCAATGTCAATTGACAATGAATTTCAATCCATGTTAAAATTTCTTCGATTTGATCTTTAGTCAATATTTTTGGCTTAAAACCACTTAGAACCATTTGAAGATTATTTAAATTTTATTTGAAAATGCGTTACGTTACTTGGAAGAAATGCAGTTTGAAAAACAGTTGATTTTTATGAAAAAAGATCTATGAAAAAAGATGACTATTATGATTAGGATGGTCGATGGTTAGAATAGCCAATGATTAGGATGGTCGATGATTAGCATAGTGAAAGCATTTAACGGTACATGCAATTATAGACCTCAAGAACAACATCAACTCATTTTATAATTGAAAGCTTGTATTGGGAATCAAAAGTTTGTGTTGATGTTACAAAAGCTTTCGATATAGTCAATTATAAAAATCTGCTCGAAAAGATTAAAAATATTGGTATAAAAAACAAAATTATTAAATGGTTGCTAGTTTTTTCAATAATAAGCAACAATGTGTCATATCAAATCTTTGTATCTCTAATAATTATTTAAAAAAAAAAAAGTGATGTACCACAGAAATCAAATCTTTCTTTTTGACTTATTTACTTTCCTAAAGTCTCCACAAATCTTTCTTTTTGACTACTCCTTATTTACTTTCCTAAAGTCTCCACAAATCTTGATTGTATAATGATTGCAGATAATACAAGTTTCTTTTGTTCATCTACTTTTAGCAAAGGCACTTCAATCAGTTCTTCCCTCACTAAGAATCGATTACAAAAAATTAAAAAAACGTAACAATTATATTTTCGGAGTGGTCATCGACGAAAATATTTCCTGAACAACCCACATAAGCACTCAAATATCTGAAAATTTTGGTTTACTTTTTAAAGCTAGACCATTATTATCACGAAAAATATAAAACTTATGTACTTTACCTTTATACATAGTTATCTTACATATGCCAACATAACTTGTGGGAAACACACAAGACTTAATTAATGCCCCTTTATTGAGGACAAAAACATGCTTCTAGAATAAAACATCATAAAAACAAACTTACACTTGCTAATCCCCCATTAAAAGAAATGAAAGCGTTAAACATTTACCAAATTAATATCTATGCTAATATAGTGTTTACGCCAAAATAGAAATGGAATTAGTATAAAACACTATTTGCAGAAAACCAAGTATCCAATCCCAAAAAGTTTAACACAGGAGCAACTGGTAACTTTATTGTATCCCAAAAAATATATATATATATATATATAAGTATATATATATATATATATATATATATATATATATATATATATATATATATATATATATATATATATATATATATATATATATATATATATATATATATATATATATAGTATAAATGTTACTGCTACCCGCAGTACCAGGAATTACTACAATTATCAGACAAGTAGTAAAAGTTTAATTTTGCTATGATTTGTTTTGTGGACGTTACGATTTATATTTCCAAAATTCTATACAAAATATAAATATAAACCGTAACGTTCACTAAACAAATCGTAGCAAAATTAAATTTTTTTCTGCTTGTCTGATGATTGTAGTAACACATCAAACTTAGAGATTAAATTATATTATAAACATTAGCATTTAGCTAATTCCTGGTACTGCGGGTAACAGTAACATATATACTATATGGCTCTAGTTTATCTAATGAGCACTCTTTTAAGTATACAATATTATACATGATAATATAAAGACATTTTCTTTATTCATATATATATATATATATATATATATATATATATATATATATATATATATATATATATATATATATAAGTTCACTGTAAATATACTACAAAAAAATTTACTAGGTATGAGTATTTTTACAATACGATCTATTATTTAAGTTTTAAATGATTAAAAGATTGTGATTACGTGATGTTTTTGGAGCCCCATCGATGTTGTTATTTTATGATGTTACCTATCTGCTTTAACCTATCTGCTTTAACATTCTCATTTTAAACTTTATTAATTTCTTCTAAATTGTTTTATATATTTAAAAGTTACATTGTAAAAATAAAAACGTAAATCTTATTTTGTAATAAATAGAGAAAAAAAAAGAAAACTACTGAAATTGTTCCAGAAGTGATGTCAATGACTTAGCATGCATACTACATGGGTTCACTATTTAGTTTTTTTTTACAAACATAAAAATGAAACAGTTCGCTATTTTTTTTTTTTTTTTTGTTATTTTTGTTTTTCTATTTGTTATATGAGTTAGAGATTCATTAGCATTAATAAGCCTATTGATGCTAACAAAACGAACTGATCTTAATAGGGATGTTGGTTTCGGGATGATAATATTCCATAAACAGACATTTCCATGGATTATGGTTAGTCGTAGTACCCCAGTGGGCACAATGACGTTGAAATAACGTTGAAACAACGTCGCAAACCGACCATATACCACGTTGAAACAACGTTGAAATTATGTTGAATTGGAAATAAAATCCGACGTCAAAAACTACGACTTTGAAACAACGTCGATGATTACGTCGTTTTAACGTTGATCTAACGTCTTATCGACTTTGAATAGGTGATATATTCGATTGATACGTAGTTGATAAGACGTTAGAACAACGTTGAAACAACGTAAATTCAACGTTGATTTTTGTTTTTTATTTATGTTAAATCCAATTAACTAAAAAATTATCTCAACTTTAATTGCAATAAAATAATACAATAAAAAAGCAATAATTTGCGCAGAGGATATTATATTTCACGTAAATTAATCAGATACAACTAAATTGCTTCAACGGACTTTATATACAATGCAAATAAAGTAAAATGTTTGAAAAAAAAAAGTTTTATTTATCAGTAATATATTTATCAATTTATCAATAATAACTATTATCAATAGTTCCAGAACAACTAGGAAAAAGTATGAATGTTATACATCAGGTGAATTGCCTTTTACGCGCCGATCACCACCATTTGATCTGTCGAGTGCGTATTTTAATAAAGTCATTATTCCTTTTCTTATTTCGGTAACTGTAGCAGCCACTTTAATTGACAAAACGCTCTCTATAAAAAAAGGTATTGCCTGAGTAATTTGCATCAAATACATCAAAAAGTTAAAAATAAAATAGCATTAAAAAAACGAACTGTGATTTTTTATAAAATATACAATTTTACACTTAACTTACAAGTAAATACCTAATGTTTGTTCCTTTAAACTTCTCTTTACCTTTACCGCCAGCCATATTAAATTTTGATTATAAACCGTTGGTCAACAACCTGCGTTATACATTGTTACTATTATTACAGTTACATTAAAAATTGCTAAAACTAAGTAAAAATAATATCAAACTTTTTATATTTACCAGTGTCATTTTCTTTAATATGACTGTAGAATAAACAACCAAATTCACACTATAATTCTAAAAAAGAATTTAATGAGGAAAAAATTCCTTTAATTGTTATGTACTTTTGAAAAAAAAATTATAAAAATAATAATATTTTTATAAAAGTTCTGAAGACTCCTACAAAAATTGCTATAAAAGTTTTTTTTTCAAATATCATAAAGACTTTATAAAGAAATTTTTACACAAAGTAGAGAAATTAATCAATAAAAAATTCTGAAAAAAGCTAATAAAAAAACTTTATTTTTAAACAAAAAGTTCAACATACTTTACAAGTTGTGAGACACTTTGTCAGGGTAAAAGTTTGATTAAGGTTGCATGCTGTCATACACTAAATATAAAAAAAACGAAACACCTGTTAAACTAAAAATTAATATTTATTATTAGAAACAAGCCTTAGATGAAATAATGTATATTTAAATTCTGTAGAATGGTAAAATCGTCATCGTCTCATATAAATTTATTACAAATGTCTCCCGATTTCTTATAGTACTTAATTTTGTAAACTATACCAACAACTTCTATAACTTCTGCTAAATAAAGCCTCTAGGCTTTATCTAGGCTCTATCTAGCTTTATCTATTTTATTTCGGCCAACTTCATGATTAAAAAACTCAGAAAAATTTTACTTAAAGTAAGTATATTTACTCCAAAATAAATTTCATCAGAACTTTCATCATTTTTAAATGATGAAAGTTCTGATGAAATTTATTTTGGAGTAAATATACTTACTTTAAGTAAAAACAAAACAGATTATCTTTTAATTTTTAAAAAAACTAAAAGATAATCTGTTTTGTTATTTTAGGTATATCAGTTAAAATATGCAATTTTCTTTTACACCTATTATGTGTTTAATTGTATTAGTTGTTATTCTTAACCTGGCTTTGGAATGAGGTCGAATTATTTAGGTAAAACAATAAATAATATTGATGGTAAACTCACAGGAGCCCTTTCTCATAAATTAAATGATGTCGATGGTGAAGTTTTAACACCAATACTATAATTAGAAATGGAAACTTCAGTATTCACTATTGGCCTATCAGTAATATTTGCAGCTAAAATATTTAAAGCAATAAAAATTCTTTCACCCATGTTCCCCAGGGCTGTCCTGAGGGGGGCAAAGGGGTGTCTAGCCCCTGGTGATTTGTCATTTTTTGTTAGTTATTCTGGAAAGACAATCTGGTGATCAACTTTCTGGAGGAATATATTGGTTTCCTACTTATAATAAAAGTAAGTTTTAAATGTCTTTTCCAAAATACAAATTATTCTCAATGAAAAATTGCACAATCGCAAAGGTTTCTTACCAAACCGTAATGCAAGTAAGAAGAAGAATTGATACAGGGAAAGAGTTTGGTCCAAGGAGACCACCTTCTAAACGCAAGAAAACACCAAGAGCGGACAGTATAATCAGAAATATCTGCCTGTAAAACAGAAAAAAAGCCACTAAGCTTACCCATGAAGCATGAAGTAAATATTTGCTTACTATTCTGTTGGTTATTATGTTTTCTCTTGCATAAGCATGGTTGTGGCTCCTATAAAAATTAATATCAAAATATAACAAATAATACTTGAATAAAGTATCTTTTGAAATAGTTACCGTTTTTTTTTTTTCTATGTATTTAGGTGCTCCCAGAAGTCCTTACGGTCTTATCATAGAGCAGCGCGGGTGAGCATTTAACAGGAAGTTCACGCCTCCTTCTGTACCAATGTCGCTTGTTGGGCTGGAGCTGGCATCGAATCTCGGACCTCTGGGTTCTGAGCCAGAACTCTAACCACTGCGCCACGGCTGCGTTTTCTGAACCTGATTCTATCTGAGTATCACTAGTAAAGGCAAATTCAAATTTATTACATAACTCATGATCTAAGAATATTCATTCAATTTAAAAATGTTTTAAATACATTATATAATAAAGAATATATAATAAAGAATATATCTAAACACTGAAAACAACATATACAGAATGAAAGCATGTTAAAAAAACAAGGAAAAAAAGTAATGACTTAAGGTTTATATCTAAAAAAATTACATTATCTCCATGACATTTAATTTTGAGCAGCGTAAATCTGTATTAGTTAGATGCGGTTTATGCATTTCATTGAAACAATTTATTACATTTAATGATGGCCAGCACAAAAAATTATCAATCGAATTTTCTCACTTTATTTCTCTGTATTTTCTATCCAAACAGCTCGAATGAACATTTTGCATGCCCTACAATACTTTTTCAACTGGAAAAGTATAGTAGAAAATATAATAGAAAAAATACTTATATATTAAAAATTTGTTTATGTAAAATAGCTAACAGAAAAATACAACTTTAAACTGCACGTTATGATACATTATACAGTTGCTAAAATTTGCTAAATTTTTATGTTGATCCTTCTGCCAACCAATATTATGGACTAAAGGAGCATGCAGAAATTCTTTTTTATACAACTTTACAAGAAAAATCTTTAAAAATTTAATAAAAATTTTTTAATATAGAAAATATTCAAACTCTTTAAATCACATGGATTGGTAAAAAAGCTTGATAAATCATTATTTTGTAAAACATCATCCGTTATATATATTTATATTATGTATGTATATATACATATATAGTGTATGTATATATTATATATGCATATTATATATATATATATATATATATATATATATATATATATATATATATATATATATATATATATATATATATATATATATATATAGTATATATATTTATATCTTGTATGTATATATACATATATAGTGTATGTATACATTATATATGCATATTATATATATGTACATATATATTATTATAGTATATATATAATAATTATATATATATATACATATATATATATATATATATATATATATATATATATATATATATATATATATATATATATATATATATATATATGTATACATATATATAATATGCATATATAATATATACATACACTATATATGTATATATACATACAAAATATAAAAATATATACTATATATATATATATATATATATATATATATTATATATATATATATATATATATATATATATATATATATATATATATATATATATATATATATATATATATATATTATATAAATAAGAAAAACATATATAATATATATTTTATACTTATATAATATATCAAGTAGTCTCTACTTGTAATCCACACTCATGAAATAATACAGTCATAAAGAAATATCCATTTAATATTTACCTAAGTAACTGCATCACAAGTTAAGCCATGTATTATTGTTAAATTGTCAAATTCAAAACCTTATAAAAAGGCAACGGATGACCTAATTTATAAGCATGTGTGACTTTACTTGTTTTTATTGGGCTAATAAGTAACTTGTTGAGTCTTTACTTGTTATTTGTTATGTTGATAAAAAAATTTTAAGTCACGCATACGTATTTTAGTTCTCATATTGCAATTACGAACGATCGAACTCGTAATATAGACGTTGAATTATCGTGAAATCAACGTCGATTTTATTTGATAGTTTTAAACAAATTTTTCAACATTGATACAACGTTGATTTTTGGTTATACGACGTCGCGACTAAAAATCAACTGTAAATCAACGTCGAAATAACGTCGTGTGCACACTGGGACCCATCAAATGTGCGCAAATGCCTAGGAACTGTTAGTGGTTACAAATGGGTCACCTAATACCAAGTACAACAGCGCTGTTGTACTTGGTATTAGGTGACCCATTTGTAACCACTAACAGTTTCTAGGCATTTGGTTCCACTAACTTGGTTAACCACTTGGTTAACCACTAACAGTTCCTAGGCATAACAGTTCCTAGGCAACTTTCTCCTGACTGCTAGCAGTCAGGAGAAAGTTGGAATAAATAAACCAAAGCTCATAAATCAAGAGCAGGTTAAACGGCAAAACAGTTTGACGTTTACGGCAGGTTGATGATAAAAAAAAGTCTTATAATTCCCAGTAAAAAAAGGCGAAATGTCAAAAACGTCGAAAACTTTGACATACCACAAATGGGTATAAAGTTGATTTGAACTCATAAAGAACTAAAAATAACAATATATGTTTTCATGACCATATATATTTATGTTTACATATTTGTAATTTTGAATTAAGACTACGTAATAAATAGAGAATATAACATAAGTCAAATAAGTGCAAAAAAGAAAAAGTTTTACAATCTGTAATCATCGCCAATTTCATAAAAAAAAAAATTTGAAACTGTATCTAAGTGAAGGCAAAAATCGCACTTTTTTAAAAAAAATTAATAAAAATAAAATATTTTAAACGCACTTTTTTTAAAGACCTACTAATGTATATTTTAAGCACTTTAAAATTATTTTTTCATTACCAAAAGATAACGGCAAACCTAAAATTGAAGAATCCATGATAAAAATTTGGAACTTTTAACAAACTTCAACTTTAAAACTATAAAAACAAAGCAGTACTTATAACTCGCGCAAACGATTTTTTAAACAAAAGAATTGAGCCAGATTATGTGTTCTCCAGGGTTAAAGGTCAGTCCTACCCTAAAAAAAATTATTGGATAAGATGGACCAGAGACTCTTTTATGCATCACCACCAAAAAGCGTTTCAAAACGCCTTTTTTCATTTTCGTCAATTGTCAAGTTTTGAAGCATTTCTGCCCCACTGTGCACTGGTTTTTACTTGGGGTGGATCATACAACTTATTTTTATATTTATTTGATTTAAAATCATGTTTTATAGTTTATTCTGAAAATTTAAAAAAAGTATTCTGCAACTTAATCATTTGTTATTATTAAAAATTAAAATGTGGTTAAAATTTAAAATGCAGCAAGATCGTGTTTTTTATGTATATTAATTTATCCACGTTAAGTAGGATAATTATGAGATTAGATTAAAACTTCATAATTTTAGACTAGATTAAAACTTTATAATTTTATTACATTTATAAGCACTATCTTCACATGTAAGCTTTTTTGTCGGGTAATATTATAAATTAAATTGGAAATTTGCACTTTTTTACTTATAAACATTATGAACACATTTAGAGGCGATTTTACGGGGGGAGGGGGTGTTCCCCCAAAAAAGGTGATTTTCAAGTTATAGTCGGTTTTTTTACGAATTTGGCTAGTCAGGTATTTGACACAATTCAGTCGGATAAATTTTAGTTTTGAGAACCTTTTTTTTTGGTTGCCAGTTGGGTACTTTTACCCCCCTCCCTCATTTTATTCGAAGAATCGCCTCGGACTAAATTACCTTATATATACCTTATATATACCTTATATTATAGACTAAATTACCTTTACCTACTCACCTAACTCAGCAGTATAAGATATATATATATATATATATATATATATATATATATATATATATATATATATATATATATATATATATATATATATATATATATATATATATATATATATATATATATGTATATATATATATATATATATACATTTTCAAATTTACCGACTAATCTTTTGACAGTGTCTACTAGTCAAAAAGGGTTCCGCCCCCATATATATATATATATATATATATATATATATATATATATATATATATATATATATATATATATATATATATATATATATATATATATATATATATATATATATATATATATATATATATATATATATATATATATACCCAGGTAGCAAACAATATTGGCGTAATATTGGCACGATATTACGTATCTTGGCTAATCTTGGCCAAGATATCCGATATTGCGCCAATATTGTCAAGCAATATTACGCCAATATTGTCTTACCAATATTGGCAAACAATATTGCGCCAAAATTATTCTTTATTGTTTTACTGATATTGTTATGTCAATATTGGCAAAATATTGTTTGCCAATATTGGCTTTATATTAAATTTTACATATTGGTACGCATACGTAAGATTAAGGAATATTGTCCTTTAGTTTTGTTTAATGTGTTTAAATGTAAATAATAGCATCTTTTTACATAAACAGGCATCCTTATGTTATTAATTTTTTTGCAAAAACAAATAAGAGTTCAAAATAAAAATTTTAATTTATGAAAAAAGAAGTAGAAAAATTATTTGTGATTATTTTTTAGCTGATGCACCGTTAAACTAAAAGGTGGTAATAAAGTTTACAAAATTTGCTCTGGCTGATATTTTCAATGAAAAAACAATATGTGTGCTATGAATATTATCTGTTTTTCATGGCGGATCAATGAAAGTTTGGTGTATTGGCCAAAGCATCTTTACGTATGGCAGTTTAAAGTTTAAACTGCCATACGTAAAGTCACGCTTTTAAAAGTAACTGAGAGCAGCTGAAAATAAGAATTTTTTGGTAATTGTCTTATTTACAATATTGTTTTTGTTTCATTTACAGTATTGTCTTTGTTTTTTTATCTAAACAGCTATGTTTGACTCAAATATAGTAAATGTTGATTGTTTAGTATGGTTTCATCTCTTCTTTATACTTTTTTATTACAGTTATGAGACTGCTTTAGAACGGAATTATCTGTGCCTCAGCTTAAAAGGATGCAGGTTACAAAAAAAGTGACACTGAGAGACAGATTGTTTCTCTGTTTCTCAAAGATTGAAAATTTTTTTAGTGTTTTAGGGTTAAGTGATTCCATCAGAGCTTTGCTTGACTATCTCTTTCGATTTATTGAATTTATTTGCCGGTTATAGATGAAAAAAGATCTTTTAAACCTAGAAGAAGAATTATGGAACAAAGACACCTTATGAGTCAATAGTATATATCAGTGAATTGATATTAGTTAATAGTTTTTGGAAACAGCACCATGTACTATTAAAGTTTCTAATTTTTAAAATATATGATACATTTATATGAAACATACAAACAAACGATACAATATGATACGTGATTGACTATAATTATGTTGTATATCAGAATGTTTTATATAAATGCTTATTACATTTTATTGTGATTTTTATCTTTTATGCCCAGTTAGCAATGTATTTTGTGTAGCAATGACTACTAATCTCAGATATCTTTGACATCTGTAGGGTGTATTCACCGCTACAGATGTCATAATCTATTTATAACCAATTGCTTTTACTCTTCCATAATGTCATATTTTAATAAGAATCACATTATGGAAAACCGTCTAATACATACACATGAGGAACCATTATAATTTTAGTACAACCAATTATATTACATTTGTTTTCTTATTTTAGATGAACTTTCTTACTTCCTTTGGAGGTGATGAGAAACAACTTACAGCGGCAATCTTAATACAGCTAATGGCCAAAGAAGTATGTTTTTCATACTCAGTGTATGGAATGAAACAAAAACGTCCTGCAAGGTCGTTATAGGTAAAGCACAATATTTGTATTCTACATCCCATTTCCTTTTAATAAATAAATATTTTAATAAAAGCTAATTATTTTACAATATTTATACGTGAAAAGTTATATATTTCAAAATTATATTGTGATGATATTTAAAAAACATTTTGTAGAGTTGCGTTTAGTCATTTATCGTTGTATTCGTTCATTTTAAAATCGCTACTGACAAAAGTATTAAAGAAAAATTGGCAGATTTCTGGCGACGACCATTAATAGAGATTATGGAAGAAAAATAGAATCGTAACTGAGCTACGCCTAATATTGAGCAATGAAATAAGTATCGCCAATACAATAAAAGTCGATGCCCACTATGTCATAGTGAGATTATAATACAGTAATTTATATATATATATATATACATATTTTTTGTACGTGTAAATAACATTTTTTGTACATTTAAATAACATTGATTTTATTTTGTTATATTTTGGTTTTAGAAAACTCTATGCCTCTTTTTTTCATTTGTATCTGTTTCATATAACTTCAAATAAATTTAATGATTTCAAATTTTTTTTTCTTAAAGCGTGTTCTATAATTATTGTCATCTCCTAGACTATAACCTGTTTGACTCAAAAGAATAATGCAGCCTAGTACTATAGTATCACTTAAACAAGAAAACTGTTAGTAATTTTAATCATTACAAAATTGTAGAAGGCAATATTTTTTATTATTTTTTAATAATAAAAATTTAATCAAAAATACTCAATATATTGCCTTATTTTAGTTATATATGTTATATATATCAAGATAATATTGTAAACTATATTAGGCCGATATTGGCCAGTATAATATCCCCATTATTGGCGCGATATTATTTACAATATTGGCGCAATATTATAAACTATATCGGACCAATGTTGCAGTGTGAACATTTTGCCAATATTGGCCAATATTGACTTTACAGTATTGGTGCAATATTGTATCGCCAATATTGACTTTACAATATTGGCGCAATATTGTAGCGCCAATATTGGCCAATATTCGCAAAATATTCACATTGCAACATTGGACCGATATAGTTTACAATATTGCGCCAATATTGTAAACAATATCGCCTCAATATTGCGCCAATATTGTTTGCTACTAGGGTATATATAGGGGCGGAAAATAAAATTCTTATTATATTATAAAACCAGGTAGGAGCTCAAAAAAGATACGAATAACTTAAGTCACCACAATCTTTTTATAAAGCCTCTGTATGAACTGAAAAGTTAAAAATATAATAAAATTTTTAAAACTACAATGTACAACTCCAATATAATATAATGGATATAAAACCTTCGTAAACATGCAGATTTAATTAAGAAAAGTAAATAGCATATGCTATTTCTTTTCTTAATTAAATCTGCGTGTTTCAATTTGAGCTGTAGTTTAAATTCCTCAAAACTGTAAATTTCAGCAGTATACTTTTTTTAAAAATATTTTAAATATTAGCAAAGATTTCCAGAAAGTTGCAGGATTGCATTATCTATCATCAAGTCACAGCAATTGTTTAAATGCATTTCATGTATGGTCACGCACAAAATTCACACTTGGAAGTGGCAAATTTGTTGATTTCAAGTAGTTATTTTTATGAAAATAAAATGCTTGCAAGTATTTCAAGTAAAATATTATATCTCTACATTTAATATATTTTTGATGAGAAATAGCAGTCATCAAATATTTCTAACTAGAGTTTAGCGTTTAGAAAATTATTGCATCTTTTTTAAGCTACTGTAACATTAACACACACAAAATAATAAAAGGATGAAAACATATAGATTTGAATATTCAGGTTGAAAAAAAATATTTTCGTTAAAGTTGTTCTTGAAGAAAATCATAATAGTATGCATATTGCTATAACTCCCAGATAGTTGTAAAAACAAAGAAAAATATTAAATCACGCACAGAAATGGAAAGACAAATATTTCAAGGGAAAAATTGGTAAACTCATTACAAAAGTCAATTACTTAATTCAAAGGTTTTTACTGTCAAAAATTGTGCGTTATCAAGGTTGGCAATCAACTTAAATGAAAACTTGTCTAAAAATGTTTATTTTAATCAATTATTTTTTTGGAATTTTATTTAAAATTTAGTATTAGCAAGTCAGACCAGTAGACGGTTAATATTGATCATGATTATTCGTTCAAACCTTCAATAAAAAAGCTATGTAGTTTGCAAGAATAAAGTTGAAGTTCCTTTTGAGAAAAACTCTCAGTCGTTTTTTATTTGTTTAGATTTTAATGAAGTAACCACTTGTACACTACGCTGCTAATACGTTTATTTATGCTTAGATTTTAGACTATAGACTTTTCAGTATGCCCCAAAATACTTTGCTTTGCAGCCCAAAATACGAAAATAAAAAGTAAACTTTTGCATTGAAATTTAAAAATCTTATCAACACGAAAAAAATAGCCAGCGTTTAATGCATGGTTACTAACTCAATAGTTTTTTTTAGATGAAAATGTATTTTTTAATGATTTCCCTTATTTTAAATCATTTTTTTGATGTATCGAACATTTTTTCCGGCGATCTTAGAGTTTGAGTTGTTGATAGTCAACCATAAAAAAATCAAAATACAGAGGAGGACCTGTAAACTTAAAACCTAGAGTTTATAAAAACTATTGTTTGATTACCTTTAAAAACATATATCAACTTGGTTTAACAAATACAATGCTTATTTTAATTAGTTTTTTTTTACTTTTCTCAGACTAAAATTTTGCCGACTAAAATATGTCAAATGGCAATTATATTTTTAAAAAAAACCGGCTATAAGTTTAATATAGTCTTCTTAGGGAAAAGGAAAAGGACATACCTTCCTTAAAATCAGTCTTGTTGTCAAGTAAACTTGTATTAAGATTATTTTACTACAAGTAATGTTTACTTACGTCAATCAAAAAAAAAAAAAAAAAAAACATTACTTAACATATGTTAAGTAATCCGAAAAATTAAAAAAATGTAGTTAAGTAAAAAGTCTTCATTAAAACATTTTATAAATAGCAATAACAAAATGAGATCAAATGACAAAATAACGAAGTCCAATAGAAGTAACGTTTTATTAGTTTATGGCGAGGTCTTTAAACAAAACTTAACCAGATCATAAAGCAAGATCAGGTCAAACATGGTTTTTTAATTTATCTCAAGACTTGATCATGAATTTATAAAAATGTCTTGATACAATCGCCTATTTTTAAGATCGCCTATTTATGATATAAACTTTTTTTTAAATGTTGATTCACCATGCTTGTTCAAGTACTTTGAATACAAATATTGAAAATGTCAAAATTAAAATTAACAAAAATAAATATTATCAATTTTCCATAATTATGTCATTTATGTTTACATATAAACTTTGATACTATTTATATCATTTTGAAAGAACATTTTTAACTTTTCTTATTTATTTAAACTATAACTGTTAAATTCTTACAACACACCCTAACACCCATTGTTTGTGCCTTTATTATTATTATTATTTTTTTGGTCGTTTAAAACTCCCTTCTCTCCCTCTCTCTCTCTCTCTCTCTCTCTCTCTCTCTCTCTCTCTCTCTCTCTCTCTCTCTCTCTCTCTCTCTCTCTCCTTCCGTTCTTTTTTCCCAGCAAAAAAATATTGTATCTATCCCTGTCTTTTTAAATGCAATTGTAATTTAAACTTTGTGAACAAGTTAATTAGGCTTTCCAAAAGTAAAATCAACATATAAAGTAAAGGGGAAAAAAAAAATTACGCAAAGTAAAAATTTATTATTTTAGAAATTGATTTAAATCTTAAAACCTGACACCTCACGAAAGGAAGTAAATTTAATAAACAATATAAAAAGGAAATTAGTTATTATATTTTAGCATAGAATGCGAAAAATAGAACAACAACAAAAAAAGCCATTTATTATTCGTCTTTCACAAAAAAATAAAAAAATAAAAAGTTTAATGGCTCGTTTAATGTCTAGACTTTACTTTTTAATTAAACATCTATCGGCTATAAATAAAGAATGGTCAGGTGTTGTAAAGTGTTATTATTCATAAAACTTAAAATTTTAGTATCAAACATGTAATTTTGGTATCGGAAGTAAAGTTGACCATAACCAAGTTTATAGTCAAAATGGCGACAAATGGCTGCACCTCAAAATCTTGGGTAAAGTTAAACGTTGGTGGAAAGGTTTTTCTTACAACGAAAACTACTCTTTTAAAAGAACCAGATTGCTTTTTAGGTAGATTAGCAACTGAAGATCCTGATCTTCCTTCCGATAAGGTAGATACTTCGTCACGCTTATAATAAAGTTGATAATATAAATATAAAACTGGAATTTTTTTCAGTTTTTATACTTAAAACATTATAAGTTTCGCATTAATTACATTAAGTTGTTCACACTGCAAATAATAATCAAATAAAAATAATATTTATATTTACATTTCTATTAAAATATTACAACAAAAACAACATTGCAAAAACAAATATAGCTCTCAATTAGTTTATGTCCTTTTTTATCTATTGTAGCATTGTTTATTATTAAACATGAAAAAAATTTTCTTAAATAATAATTTTTTTTTCCTAACCTAGTTTTAAACCACCTTTATTTAATAAAATTTTTATCATAAGTTGATCAAGTATATAAAAAATAATTATGCTTCCAAAAAAATTGGTATTGTTTTAAAATGTGAATACATGATTATATTTTAAAAGAATACTGTAAAATTTATAACTTTGAATGTTTGCTATCAATTTGATACAAAGACTTATTAATAAGAAAAAACAGAGAATGGGTGTATGCATGTTAGGAAACTAACTAGTTTTTTTATGTTGGTGAGCTCACTAAAATAAAAATTTTATTGTGCAAATATTGTTTCTGGTGAAGTCATGTAATATAAGTTATATATATTGTATAATTTGTATAACTCCTATTAACTATTGCATTGATTTGTTTATAACTATTACATTGATTTGGTTTTGGTTTTATTTTGTTTTTATCGGTTATTTATATTTACATTATATTTTATAATGAGGGTATCTAGACTCCCTCGAAATATTGTAATAAAATCAATTTAAGAATAAAGAGTTACATCCATATTAGAAGTTTTTATTTAGATGTATAATTCCTATGTCCTAACTAAATGATGCAGAAATTATAATTTTATATCAATAAGTAACTATATATAGTTAAAGTAACTATAAATTAAAATAAATAGGCATTGTGGAAACCTGACTGACAGCACAAGTGTAATGAAATTGAATATATATATATATATATATATATATGTATATATATATATATATATATATATATATATATATATTTATATATATATATATATATATATATATATATATATATATATATATATATATATATATATATATATATATATGTTGTAAACTGGGACACACAGAGGTTGCGGCGGCGGAGGGGGAGGTGGTTGTTTAGAAAGAGGTATTAGTGTATGTATGTGTTTGTGTATGTTTGTGGTGGTGGTGGGGGGGTTGTTGCAAAATACTGAAATAAATGACCATACAAATGGGAGGGGGAGAAAAATATCATTTTTTTGTGCTTAAAAAAACATGGCACCTTGTAATTAGGTTTAAAGAAAGTCTTCATATAAAAAAGGAAGAGCTCCATTGCTCAACTGCATAAGGGATCTAAAGCAAAGAAACAACACCAAAATATTTTTGTATTATTTCTTAAATCTAACAAAAGAAATATGGGAAAAAATCCATTCACTGTTTTCATACGAGTTAAAATTTAGCATGTAATGCTAAAGTTCAACTTGCAGTACAGCAATGCACATACCATGAACTCCTTCAAAAGACCTTGGTCATCTAAACAAATATTCTTCATGATTAAAAAAATACGCTCTACAGGAGCAGATGCTCCTGGCAAACACTAAAGGCATTCAATAACTTTTACCAGATTAGGTAAACTAGTTTCTTTTTATTGAAAATGCTTGAATAATTGAATCCATTTGTCAACATAAGCAATTTGGATTTTCAATGAACTCCATTCTTCCTTTTTTGATGCAAAAAATGTTTTTGCACTTGACATCTCATCAAAAAAACTGTCAATATTAATTTTTTGTTGATCATCTGAACCATGAGTATTGTTTATAGCTTTAGCAGATTGCTCAATATCTTCCTACTTTAGTATGTGATCAAGTCCAACCCATGCAAATATCATAGCCCCACCAAAACTATTTTCCCACAGTTCAATATAAGAGATATATTGTTTATAAAAGGAGTTTACATCTGTTATAAATGTATTAACACCCTGGGCACTAAATTTTCTAAGCAACTGTTTTGCTCCTTGTGGTACAAAATTACTATTCATTTTTTCCTCAAGATTAGATTTTGATTTTTTTATTTCCAAAATAAGTTCTGTTGCATTTATTGAATTTTTCCATAACTAATACAGTTTTGTTAAAATTGTGTGGCTGATCATGCACAAACCAGAAATATAACTCACCTGTTTCACTTTCAAAAATGCTTGCAAAGCACGTGAACAATTTTCTTGAGAAACAAAGTATGAATGCAAGGCCTCAAACATATACAAAATTCTTTCAACTGTGATTAACAGTGAAAGAAATCTAGTACTTCTATGCTGGATTATTTTTCTATATTCCACATCTACAAAATCACAAAATTCCTTTAACTCGGTTACTCGAACTGTGTAGACATGAAAATACTTATATATTTTCACAACAAGAGCTTCAAGTTCAATTGGAAGACCATCCACAGCAGATTGAAGTGTATTGTGCACAATATGTGCACCACAACCAATGTCAACAATATTAAGACTAAGTTCTTTTTAAGCCTGTTGTAAACATTATTTTAACCTTTTCTATGTACTCCATCAAAATTTGTGTTGCAATTGTCAGGACAAAAAGCAGCTATTTTTTATTATCTTCATGATTCTGCAATGTTGAAATAAACTTATCGGTCAATATTTCAGACGTTTCACTATCAACAGATTCAAAATCTAGTTTTACTTTGGCACCTTCCAATGGTATAAAGGACCTAACAACAACTGGTAATAGTTTTACTTCTCTTCTATTTGATGTTTCATTAGAAACACTTGTCTTTTGTGAGTCATCATGTAACTCTTTTACAGATAAAGGTGCCAGAACATTTGAAATTATTGTTTGACATTTGGTTTTTGCAGCATCAAATTTTGGTTAAAAAAACTTTGAGATCAGTTTTGAACTACACTCAGATGTTTTGAAGCTCGAACGTATGACAGGCAAATGTAGCCTCCTTCGCTGCAATAATTAAATCACCTTCATTGGGTCTATCATTTTTAAAAGATCCTTTAATGGATGAAGAACATGCAGCAGCCGAAACTCCAGCTACACATACACTAATAAAGTCTTTGAATTCCTGATAAAATGATAATAAGACTTTGAATTCCTGATAAAATGCAGACCTAGAAAGTAATTGTAATATTTGTATTAGTATCAAAATAATATGATTTTCGTTTTCTGCTTTTTTTTTTTTTCAAAATTCAAAATCATGAATTTTGTTTTGCTGAATTATCATAGTCAAATTATATTAGTTGCTATAAACATGGTTCGGATATTTACTTTTTTTGTATTTTTGGTGTTATTTTTTTATTTACTCCTTCAATTTCTGTTGAATTTCTGGATTGAACATTTGTTTCAAAAACCAGGCTTCCTGCCATGTATTTGAGATAAAAGCGATGGTATTTCTAATGATAATCTCCATTTAGGTAGAGTATATACACAATAAGAGCTTATATAGCATAAAAATTTAATTCTGAGTTGTGAGGAGATAATAATTTACTCCACTTAACTACAGGACATGTACTTGATCATAATGGACTCCACTTAACTACAGGACATGTACTTGATCAATTTACTCCACTTAACTACAGGACATGTACTTGATCATAATGGATCTGGCAAAGTAATTAGGATTCAGATCCTACTTTGGATTCGTACCCAATTTTAAATTAAAAACAAGTAAAAAAATTATTTTGTGCAAGAAATTTTTATTAATTTTTAAAATGTTAATAATCGCAGTTAATTTTGTAAAAAAATTTTTTTTTTTAACGTTTCATATCAACAAATTTATTTTTTTATTTTATCAGTACTATTAATTCAATAGTGTTATCATATAAGCTACTCTCAAGTTTGGTTACAAAAAATCTGAATGTACTTAAGTACATCTTTATTTCAGTGTTTAAAAACTATCCAACCAACAGATGTTGGTTGGGTAGTTTTAAAACACTGAAATAAAGACTAAAAATTAAAGAAGTATGCTTTTTTGTTGACTCCAAGACAGGAAATTCTTTATTAAGAGATTTTATGCTGAGACCTTCATTATTCACTTTGTATAGCTTTTTCTAGCTGTTTTTTCATATCAAAATTTTCTTCTACTTGGATTTCAAAATCAACGTTATTTTCTTCTGTACAATTTTCTTTGATTGTTGAGGTAAAAGTCTAAATAAAAAGTCTTTAGCTAACAATATAACTGCTGATTTTTTGGCTTAATGCTAAAAGCATCTTAAGTACCAGATAATAGGAAAATATACTTGTTTAAATATTCCATGAGGCAAATAAAATTTGGATTTCTTATGCTTAAAATTCTTGTTTTTAAAGCTTGATATAATTTTTTGCTTATGCTATATTCATACATTGTAATTGACATAAAACAAGACAAAAAACTTGAATTTTGATGGCTTTTTTTTGTTGTTGTTTAATTTCAAGTACTTTCGCTCCTAATTTTACAAGCTTTAAAGGCTAAACTAAATTTTTAAGAATTAGCAGCTCTGAATCTGGTATTGTTATTGAAGACACTTGGATAAGAGCCAATTTAATATATTTGCATAACTTGAAAAAACGTTTAACCATATCAAATAATGAGTTACAACGTGACTTGCAGTCTAAAATAGGTTTAAGTGGTCCAAATTATGATTAAGTGGTCCAATTTATGATTTTACATGCTTCTGCAACATATCATCACTGTTAACAAATTCTATAAACATTTTTATTGTGTAAACTTTTTCTAAAATTGAAAAATAATCTTTTATAAAAACAGCCTCTAATGAACTATTATCAAATTCAATGTAACCTAACTCTTCACCTTAATTAAGTTTTTCACTGTCATCCTCACTGTCATTAATTCCAAAGTTATTTTTTTATTAAACTTCCATTTCTGTGCACATAAATGTTTATATAATGACACATTTTAATTGAAGTATATTCATCAACAGTTAAGCTAAATCTGATATTGTTAGCTTTCAT